TTTTTTAATCGGATTGTTTTTTTGGTTGAGTTGTGTGAGTTCTTTATAAATTTGGGGTATCAAGCCTTTATCAGACTCCCACTCAGTGGGCTGTCGTTCCTACCCGAGCGCCGACAGGGGTTCACCTTCTGCCCCGTGTGCCCGCTCTCCTGTGGGGGCCTCGGCTGCTTCTGTCCAGGCTGGCTTTGCAGTGGCGACCAGGACTCTGGGGTGATCAGCTTCTTAGGAAAGGACCTTGAAGACAATCCTAGAGTTACGCTTTCATCTCAGCGTCAGTCCCCCATGGGGGCGGGAGAACCGCTCGTTGTGCCCTGCACCCCGCGCCCTGTCCCAGCCGGGCCCCCGGCGATGCTCCAACGCGAGGACTCGTCTTCCATCTCCAGAGGGTGCCCTGCGTTCCCTTCTCGCCACCTCCCATCTCTCCACCCCTCGGTGCCCCACTTCTGAGGGCGAGCCTTCTCCTCAGCCTGTTCCTGCTGGACCTCCAGCCCGTGTTCCCTGGAGCTGTCCCTTTTTATTACAGCGCATAGCCCAAAAAGTGTCTACATGTAACCACTGTCCAGATAGGTCATTTCCAACCGGTGACAACGAGAGGCGGACAGGAAGGCGGCGCCCGGCCCCTGCTGAGCAGATCTCTGAGCAGAGGACATGCTGCTGGGCCTCAGCTCGGAGCCTCCGGGGGCAAGAGTGACCTTCAGGGCACAGGCTGGCCTGCCCCTCTGCCCCATCGGCACGGTGCCTCCATGGACGTGCGGGAGCTCGGGTCTGGGGGGCTCCCAGCCTGGGCTGAAGCCAGCTCTGCCATGGCGGCTGATGCCCAGGCCTTCGACACCTTTTCCACCTCCACGAAAAAATAGACAAGAACGACACCAGCCGCCTCACACCTGTCCTGCGTCTCTTCCCAGCGACCGAATGGTGGTGTCACCCTTTCTGGTGACTTTCTCACTGACCCTGGGAAAAGTGCTTTGCTATGGTGGGATAGTGAGGAGACTTTCCCCCACTTCTTAGTACTTTCCCATCATTTCTAAAATCCCCACAGTGATCGTATATGTTTTTTAAACCCCTCACTTTCCCGGCTCCCGGGCTGCCTTCCTCCTGCCGGGAGTCTCTTTCGGTCCCCATTTTAGACAGCGGACGGTGCTGCCGTGAAAGCTACCCCCGGGAGAGTTCAGCCGTCCAGCCTCCCTGCCGCTCCCCAACCTTTGCAGGGCCTCCGAAGGTCACAGCCCAAGAACTGTTTCCCGAAACACCATTCCTCAGAGTTCACAGCCCCAAGCCTCCAACTTGCTGCATGTTCAGCTGCCCTTTGTTCTAAAGACCCCGGAGGCGGTCTCATTTTGAACCCTGGGGCTGGAGGTGGCCCTCTCCCCTGGCTCTGTACCTTTCCCAGGAGCCTTGTACCTGGGTCAGCTCAGGTGCCAAGTGATCAGGGGAAGGGTCCCCTCCCTACAGGGCCCCCCTTGGAATCCACGGCTCTGTCTCCTACAACTTCTCAACGGCAGGGTCAGTTTTGTGCAATGTGCCCTGCAAGGGGCCTGGGGAACCGTCTGCAGGGCCTTCATGGAAATGGCCATTCTGGAAAGCCCTAGAATGTTCCATAGACCTGGGCATTTTAATGGGAGGCAGGAGAAGAGATGGGTATTTTGTTCTGAAATCTGAACTAGCCCCTACCGCGCTGTGTTCTGTGTGACTTTTGGTGATGAAAGTACGGAAGTTACTATCCATTCTGTTGATCTCATAAACCCCGAAGGGACCTCTGCTCTGTGCCTTGCTCGCCGTAAATTCACAGGCGTTATAACTGGGAACCGGGGCTCTCGCCTGTTCAAAATCTCGCCCTAGATGCGTGCTCTAGGTACCTGCCAAAGACAAGGGATTCGTTCCTGGTGCTGGGAAGGTTGTCACAGAGCGGGAATCCAGTCACCAGTGGGCACTGCCCTGGGGAGGGCCTGTCCCTGTGCTGGGCTCAGGTTCTCAGTGACAGCTAAGGTTTCCGAGTTTCCTCTGTTTCAAAATGACTTGATAAATCTCTTCAGGAAGCCGGGGGCTGTGGAATGAGGAACCAAGTCTGGAGGCCTTGACCGTTAGGGATCCAAGGCAGCCCCTCCAGGCAGCGAACGTGGTTCCCCCTCGGGGTGTGAGCACTGCCGGTGTCCAAGGGGTGCGCCTCCCTTGGACACGATGTGCGAGGGGCCTGATGTGCTGAGGGGCGGCTATTTGTCCCGGCACCTCCTTCCCAGCTGGCATGGCCAGTGGAGGCTCAGCCAGGTGATGGAGGGTGGAGGCCGTCCTGCCCCAGCTCCAGCTCCAGCTCCAGCTCCAGCTCCAGCTCCAGCTCCAGCTCCAGCCCAGAGCACTCAGCACCCAGCGCTGGCCTCCAAGCCCTCCCACCTCATTGCGTCTGTAGGGGTTAATTTAATTTTATTTACTTGGGGGGGGGTTGATTAATTTTAGAGTGTCCTGCTATTCTGCATGCTTAGTACACAGCATGTTTCATCAATTCTCGGACCTTTATTTTTTCACGTTCCTGAAGTAAAATGTGTCCACAGTGGACGGTGTGTGTTCATTACATGTTAGCTCTTTAGCAGTACATAAAATAATGTGTCTTAGCACCGGCACCTTAGATTCCCGCATCCGATGTGCTCTCTCAAACACGAGCTCCCCAGACGTGCTCCAGCTGAGGACCCTGCTCCAGACTCACATGCCGTCGTTTCGCTTTTCCCACCCGCCTAACAGCTCGTCCTCACTAGCTGCACATTCGTGGGCAGGACCACACTTTTACCACAACTGTTTTACCTGAATCGAGTTCATCGATCTTGCGTCACGCCAGATTATTTTTGTTTTTCTGCTCATTTTTGGTGTTGAACCTATTCAAGTTACCTTCTAGAAGGCCTGGCTGCCGCCGCTCAGATAGTTCTGCTTCAGTAATGCCTGAAAGAGATTCCTTAATGTGGGCTTTGTGAAAACAAGGGAATTTATTAAAAGAATTTTTAAAAAACCTTTTGTTAAAGCTTCTGCAAAGGTACTGAGTAGCTTAAGCTGCACAGTGAAGCACACACATGCACATGCACACACAGCCTCCTGCAGACGTGGACACGCGTGCCGTGTGCCCCGCACACAAATGCGCTTGGAGAGCAACAGAAAGGCCACGCGGGAAGCCCGGGTCGAGCTGAGAGGCCGAGGCGTGTTCCTGTTGAAGGCAAATGCAGCCTCTCTGCAATGTGGGGCTAGCTGCCAGGAACAAGGGCTCGGGGACAGCTGTGGGTCCTGGTCCATTCCCCATGTCTGGGCCTGCCCCAGTCTGGGGCATCCTGCCTCGCCTGCTCTCCCGGCGTCACTTGCCTGTAGCCCTGAAGATCTTCGGGCCCAGCCACGCTGGGGCAGAGTGTACCTGGTTGAAGTGAACAAGTCTCGAGGGTCCCACCACACTCAGCCCTAGACCCCGCTGGTTCATTTGTGCCTTTCGCAGACTGGACTTTCCAACCTCCACCCTATTGCCTATTGGCCGCCTTTCCACGTGCACTGGGCCCCAGTCTCCACAGCAAGAAGGCAGCTGACAGTTGCAAGGGGAGCAATTGGACCCCTGGCCTCCAACTCCAAAGATTGCACCTTCTCAACTCATTTTAAAATCTCATGACAGTCATTGACCTGATGGTGGTTATGATAGCCAGGGTGAACCACAGGCCCTGGGTGTTAGGACCAGGGGTGCTGTGCTCCTTCGAGGCCAGGGAAGCCCCACCCAGAGGGGGCACCTCCTTGGTGCTCATCCCTGTGCCCACTAACAGCCTGACTGACCCCTTGCTCCTGTCCAGCTGCCACAGGCTCACTGCCCATCCCTGGAGCCCGGCTGCCTCTTCCTCCCCCACCCAAAGCTGCAGCCCCGCTCAGCAACTCCACCGGATCAGGGTCACCCTGCCTCACTCTGTCTACCTTTGCCCGCTGTGCCAGAAAAAGGGGGTAGTCCAAGATGCCTCTGGGTTCTGGCTGGGCTGGTGGGGAGAGGACAGTGCCACTCCTTGGGACAGGAACACCAAGGAGTGGCAGGGTGGGGGACTGGACAGGGAGGCTAGGTAGGACACTAGGGCATGTTGGGTTAGGAGCACTGATGAGAATGTAAATCTCCTGCAGGTAGTTCTCCCCTCTGCTCTGCAGCCTGATAACCCCTCGGGAGAACCAACGGGGTCGGCCTCGGGCAGGGCCTCAGGCAGGACAAGACCTGGGTGGGGTCTCAGCTAAGCTGAGCTTCAGCAGGAGGGGCTGGCTGCCCAGGGACCTCCTGGAATTTCCTGCTGAAGTCACAAGACCAGAGGAAGAACTGGCCCCAGGGCATTTGAACAGCCCAGGGGAACTGTCGCCTGGCTCCTCTGTCATCAGCAACAGAGATACAAATCAGGGAAGATTTTTGTGCTAATTCATTTTCTGGGCTTTGATGTAACAGAAATATAGCAAATGAAAAACTATAAGCCTAAAAGCCAAATAATTGCTAGAACAGATTTTTCCTGTGTTTAAAAATAAGTGATTTTTGTGGGGTGATGGAGGTAGGGAATGACTTACCCCGTAAAACACACACACACACACACACACACACACACAGAGTGTAGAAAAACATTCTAAACTATTGAAAATGGACTTCTCAAGGTTGTGAGATTACAGGTGATTTCTTGTTTTAAAAATTCTGTATTTCCTAATTTTGCCATAACGAAAATATACTACTTGTATGACAAAATACTTTAAAAAAAAATAAAAGGTGTCTTTTTTTTTAACACCTTTAAAAAACATCTTTCAAACTGTCCTATTTGTGCTTTTTGCAGACAGGCTGCTGGGGGCTGCTGGGGGCTGCTGGGTCCAGGAGGTGAGGGTGTGAGCGTGGCAGGCAGCCATGCCCAGGGCTTTTTCTGGGTCGCAGTCACTCCCCCAGCGCCCTGGTCTCCGCTGCAGGTGGCCTCTGCGGTTGAGTGGTGTCCCAGCCAGTCAACCGTGCCTCTGTTGGGCTCTGTCCTCAGGCATCGGAAGGCGTCCCCATGAGGTTCTTCACCAAGCTGGACCAGCTCATCGAGTTTTACAAGAAAGAGAACATGGGCCTGGTCACCCACCTGCAGTACCCGGTGCCGCTGGAAGAGGAAGATGCCGGCGACGAGCCAGAGGAGGAGACAGGTGGGAAAGGGTGTGGGGCACCTGTTCTCGAAGGGCCGGCAGAGAGGCCCTGGGGCGTCTTGCTCAGGACCAGCGCTCATAGGTCAGGTGGCCCACTGATCAGGGGGAGGGAATGTGACATGGGGGTTAAGGGCAGGTTAGGACACAGGCTCTGGAGTCAGACAGACCTGGGTTGGACTTCCTGCCCCTCAGCTTCTTAGTTGTGTGGCCTTGGGTGAATTACTTAACCTCTCTGAACCACAGACTTCTCTTAAAGAGACAGTGAAAATAACATCTGCCTCTCAGGGCGTCATCAGGTGAGCGGATAAATATAGAGCCCAGAGCCTAGGACATAGTAAGCGCTCAGTAAAGGCAGCTGCCATCAGCAGCAACAAAATTAGCTGCATTTCACTGGGAAGAGAGTGAAGGAAGAGGAAATCCTTGCTGTTCACTGGATGGGTGGAAAGGTGATTTTTTTATATCATCATTAAAAGAAAATAAGCCCAGCCCACGTGGCTCAGCGGTTGAGTGTTGACCTATGAACCAAGAGGTCGTGGGTTTGATTCCCGTTCAGGGCACATGCCCCGGTTTCACGCTCGATCCCCAGTGGGGGGGGTGCAGGAGGCAGCCGATCAAAGTCTCTCTCTCTCATCGATGTTTCTATGTTTCTCTCCCTCTCCCTTCCTCTCCCTCTTAAAAAAAAAATCAATTAAAATAAAATAAAATGTACAGACCCCAAAAAGCCTGTGCGAGTTGGGCCTGCCCTGTAAGCCGCAGAAGGACAGAGAGAGCAAAACAGATCCGCCGAGGTCTTGCAGACAGGAGCTCACCTGGGTGGTGCCTCCCTCTTCCCCTCAAAGGTTCACTTCCTAAAAGAAAACCCCCGAGATATAGAATCGAGCCCTTCCACTTAGGAGGTCAGGGCTCTTCTTAAATTCCAGGGAAACAACCCGGTTCCCCAGGGTCGCCCCTCAGGGAGGGCAGATTAGAGCAGAGACACCGAGGTCCTTGGCTGTCTCCCCGCCTGTCCCTGGCAGGCCGCTACCAGCCATGTGCTGGGCACCCTCCTCGTTCCACTGCCCTGGGCCGGCTTGTGGGTCCCCAGCCACCTTCTTCCCCCTTCCTGGTGACCCACTTTGGGTGGCTGCAGAGCTCCCCCGCTGCCTCCAGGGTGAACTCTGAAGGCAGCTTCATCAGCTGGGCGGAGAGGGCTGGAGCCAGGCAGAGGGTTTCAGAGGGACCGCAGCCCGGGAGGCTGAGGGGCCCAGCCAGGCCATGTCTCTCCTCCCTCCCTCAGCCGAGTAAGAGGTGCCCGCAGCTGGGAAGTAGCCAGAGCAGAGCAGACGCGTTCACGGGTGAGCCTAGGGTCACTCACCAGGGCTGTGCCACAGCCGCCTGAGCCCCAGTTGTCCCCAGGTGCCTGGCCTTGGCCTTGACTCCTGAAAAAATGCCCTCCACACGCTGGTGCCCTCGCTTGCCTTACAGCCCCAGCCCAGCTTGTCTGTCCCTTTGGGCATGGCCGTCTGAGAAAGTCCCTGAGACTTTCTGTAAGAGCCAGAAAGAGAGCCCAGTCTGCTGACTGCGGGCTTGACTTCCCCAAAGGAAGCCCAGGTCCCCTCAAGGCACCCCGTCCCCATGGGGCCCAAAACAGACTCAGCCATCCTAGAGCCGGACCGCCCCAGCCGGAGAGGGAGCGAGGGCTGCTCCCTCCCAGAGGCAGCTCGGAGGCCAAGGCCGTGGGGCAGCCACTTGTGTGGGACGAGGCTGGGGCAGGAGGAGCCGGACCCGAGGGCTCAGGACCCTCGCCGATTCGCGGCGTGCGGAGGGTGGAAGTCCTCCTAACGGTGAGCGGGCAGGAGTTCGCCTCCCAGGCCAGGTTCAGGCCACTTGCGTCCTCCGTCAGTTCTCTCGGTGAAGGAAGAGCCCTCTGTTTCTTTTATTTGTGTCCGAGGGCCTGGGGGGCAGGGGAGAGGGAGGCCAGAGGCCGGAGAGAAAGCGGGGGCAGTAGGAGAGGAATGAGCCGCGGCCCGGGGCCTGCCTGCGCCCCGCCCCCTCCTCCCGTCCTGGGAACTGGGCCTCTCCGCCTGGTCCAGGGCCCCTGCTTCTGCCCCGAAAGCTGGCCGTCCTTCTGAGCTGCCTGGGGCTGCTGGCCCCACCTGTCCGCGGCCAGCAGCTCTGCCTGGCATGGCCACTGGACCCCAAATGTCAGGTGTTTGCTGAGCGCCTCAGTGGGACAAACTGTGCTAGACCCCCTCCCTCAGGGCCAAAGACCACTAAGACTAGGTCCCTGGCCTCGGTGGGCTCCCCAGCTAGTCAGGGAGGCGGCGAGGGAGTGGGGTGGGGACGGCAGGGACAGGGTGGGAGCAGATGGATCTGTAACTGAAAGCAGGGGCCTGGACTGGGTCACTGTATAGAGGATGGAGCGCGTCAGCCATGCGGCCCTCTCTGCAGGCGGGTGATCCAGAGAGAAGCGAAAGCCTAGCCCCAGTGACCTTCCTGCTCTTCTCTTGGGTAGAAGGTGTCCCGTCTCCACCGGAGCTGCCGCCAAGAAACATCCCTTTATTGGCCGGGCCATGTGAGGCCAAGGAGGTCCCTCTCCTGAGCGAGAACCCGAGAGCCACCGAGGTCAGAGCCACCGAGGTCATCCGGCCAAGCCTCTCCGAGACGCTGTTTCAGCGACTGCAGAGCATGGACACCAGCGGGTGAGTCCCCACCTGCGGGTTGCCCCTCAGAGGCCAGCCTCAGGGCCACAGCACCCACGCAGCCTCCTCGGGGCTCACTCCTGCAGGTACCCCTTACAACCCAGGATGGGTCACTGTGGAGCCCCCCGGCCCCCCAATGGTGTGTGTGTGAGGGAGCCCAGCTTACCAGTGGCTCCACTGCGTGGGCACTGGGTGGCCCTGCTCAGAGGGTCCATCTCGCCAGGCCCAGAAGGTGGCAGGAACTGGCTTTGGAATTACACGCATCTCCTTGCTGCCAACGGCATGGTCCAGACTTTAGGGGCCTGTGCTGTGGCCCCCTTCCTGGGGCCATAGACTGCACATGGCATCTTTTCCCATCGCAGTACCTCCAGAACCATCCCTCTACTGAGTCAGCTGGCCCAAGCAGAGGAGCTGCCTGCCCTGCAGCCCGGACCGGCCACGCAGCCCTGTCCTACTCTGGGCCCCACTCCAAGGGGACCACCTTCCTTGTCACCTGTAAATGGGTCAGAGCAATAATTCCCTGTGTGGTGTGGACTGTGAGGTCTGCGCAGCGCAGTGCTCCTTCCTTCGTGATGGAGCATGTGAGATGCTTTTGTTCCAATACTTTAAGTCTTACTGGCTCTGATCCAGGGTTCTCAGCATCTGGTCCTTTATGTGTCCCCATAACTGCTCCTGCTGGTCCATATTGATGAGCTCCTGCAGCTCCTTTGCCATATGGTCCCTCTCTTAGCAGGCCCAGCATTGCAAATCAGAGGCCCTGACTTCAAGACAGGCCAGGGGAGGCCGGTTGGCGGGGCTCAGTTGGTTTAATGTCGTCTCATGCACCAGGTGGTCACCAGTTTGATTCTGGTCAGGGCACATGCCCGGGTTGCAGGCTTGATCCCCAGTAGGAGGCATGCAAGAGGCAGCCAATCGATGTTTCTCTATTGTCATCGATGTTTCTATCTCTCTCCCCCTCCCTCTTCCTCTCTCAGAAATCAATAAAAACATATTAAAAAAAAAAAAAAAGACAGGCCAGGGGGACGGCTTTAATAGGAAGGAGGCTCCTTGAGGGGAATGTGTCCCCAGTGCCCAGCATGCTGCCTAGTATATGAATTACTAAGTTAGTACCCAGTAACTTCCGTGCATTAATAATTTAGAAACGTTTTTGTTTCTTTGTGAGAAAAGGGTCCCCAAAGAATACCCCAGTGGCAGGCTGCTGCGACATCTCAGACTAGAAAGATCAGCTTGAGGCGGCCAGGGCCGCTCACCTACCACCTGACCTGGCAAAACACAAAGGAAATGCCTAGAGGTACACACAAGGACCGTCTGCTAAGATACCTGGTGTTTTCTGTTTCCACCCGACACATCCCCTGCTGCTCCTCCCGGCCCACTGGGCTGTATGCTCTGCACACTCCGAGTTACCCGTGCTATTTATCATTTGGCTAAATCTCCAGTGCTTTGAACATGGTGATACATTACCCTGAAACATTTGTCCAAATAACAAATGCTTGTTAAGATACTCAGTGCACAGCCCATTGTTTGTCTCCTTGAGTTTGCATTTCTCTCCAGGTTTAGATGCTAAATGCAGTGACTTCCGTGGGGAAATAGGCAGGGAGCCCAGTGGTGCCACCATCTGCCCAATCCTCCCGAGTCTCCCAAATCTACTGTCTCCGTCTCCTCTCCGGTGCCTCCTCTCTGGGGACAGGTGTGCGCTTGGGCCCGGGGCCCAGTGGGGCAGGACAGTGTATGCAGCCGAGCTTCGGTGCAGCCTTGAGAGGCGTGGGGTGGG